ATTTAAAAAAAAAAGAGTAAAAGAAAAAGATTAATAGCAATTTCACCTCATACAATTTGATTTTAAGAAAAACATGCATGTTTTGGTAAATGAAGCTAACTTTCTTCTGGATCCCACAACTCAAACCATATTTAAATCTCTAATTCACCTTCTCTTTGTTTTAAATGGGCTTTTGGGCTAACCTGGAAAAGTCATTTTCACTATTTTATACAGAGAAGATATTTTCCAATTTATGTGTCAAACAGCTTAATGGATTTGAATTAACCTTTTTTATGTTGGGCCTATCTGTGCAGTGGTTTCTCTACAGTTGTATATATAAGCTTTTACTGTAAAATGAGTTAATGTATAAAATACTACTTTATGCCATAATAAAGATGTTATTGCTAAAAAAAGATTGATACTGTTTTGTAGAAGTCTTCAATGACTTTTTCTTTTTCTTTTATTTATTTTTTTTTGGGGGGTGTTTTACAATTTTATTTCAAAAACTTGGATAGCTTCAGTATCCAGGTAGTAGCAAAATCAGGACACGTGTAAAATACCTTACAATACATTAAATTCCCAGAGGTACGAAAAAGTACAGTAAAATTAATACTTCCATTACAGGAAATGTATGACACAAATAATATAAAATTAAAAGGTGAAAAAAGGTGACACTGGTTTCCTAAGATACAGCTGACTTTTTACAACCAAGGTCCACAGGTCTGGGCTGCAGAGTGGCAGCAAGAAGCGGACCCTCCACTCTGGTTCTGAGTAACCTGGTAACAGATCAGGCCCTAATGCCACTCTGGCCTCTCGAGACACCACACGCTGCCTAAAACTAGAGCTCTGCAAATAGTAAACAGGACAGTGATTTCCAAGGGGAAAATTTTAAATAAGATGCACAGGGGGTAGGCCATAGAAAGCTTGCCAAGTTAAATTTGGTACATAATTGTGTTTGCTCCGTATCCAAACAAAGCGCGTGCGGTCAGTCGCCGGCTGCTCCTGCCGCCACCTGAGTAAGGCTTGTAGTTATTCTGATGGCCCCTGCGTCGCTGGCTCTTCCCGTAATTTGTACTACCCTGACTGTTGTCATAGCCGGGTCGGTAGCTGTAATAGCCACAGGGCGAGTAGTCGTAGCAGCCATAGCCGGCCTGTAGCCCTGCTGGTAGCTGTAGCCCTGGTTCCAGTAGTTGCTGTAGCCCTGATTCCAACTCTGACTCTGACCTCCACCACTGCTGCCTCGGTTCCCTTGGTTGCGGTTTCCACGGCCCCCTGAGCAGTACTGCTGATGCTGATAGACCTCCTTGGGCTGGGCCACCTTGATTTCACACTTGCTTCCACTGATGGTATTTCAATGTGTTTTTAAATGGGTTCATCAGAT